ATCGAAACTCGGTTTCTAGCGTTGTAAGTCCGCAGACATACCGCTTTGCCACGGGAGGGGCGGGCGGGCGGAAAGTCTGAGAGTTTATAACGCTGGCTTCGATACTTGTGATTGGTAGAGCACAGATAGCCCATTATGTAACTTTGCGAATAACAACAACAAAAAATAAAATAGAATAACAAATAGGAAAATGGTTAGCGTGAAGAAAACAAAGAAAGATATGAAATATATGGTAAATAATAGAAAAAAAATGCCTCTATATACACACATCATTATTTTGTTTATGCTGTACAAAAGAAAAGACTTATAGTTCAGAGTGAACTAATCGTTATTAGCCTAATATATATATATCTATATATACATACACACGTAAAATAAACTTCTGAAGAAGTGTAGCAGAATGATTTCTGTGAGATTAGACTTCAGTTCTTTCACAGTGTTTTTGTAGACAATTTGTGAATATAAACTTTATTATACAAAGTTAGATTTTTTAAAGATTTTAAGTATTATATCTGACCAAACTTCGCAGATAATTATTTTTTTTAAATTAAAAGTTGCATTTAGTTTAAGACAAATAACAAATTCATTATATAATATGAGTTGTTCGCTGTCTTTTCTTAGAGCTACACAATGGGGTATCTGCGCTCTGTCCACTTTTGGGAATCGAATCCCGGATTTTAGTGCTGTAAGTCCGTAAACTTACTCCTGACCCACGTGGATACAAAATAAAACGGCCTGGCATAGTCTGATGTTAGGGCGGTCGACTCGCGAACTGCGTGTCGCGGGTTCGAATCTCCGTGACCGAACATGCTCACCCTTTTAGTAGGGAGCGTTGTTAATGTGTCAGTCAATCCCACTATTCGTTGGTTAAAGAGTAGCCCAAGAGTTGACGACGAGTGGTGTTGACTAGCTGCCTTCCCTCTAGTCTATCACTGCTAAACTATGAACGGCTAGCGCAGATAGCCCTGGTGTAGCTTTGCGTAAACTTAAAAACAAACAAACAAACGATACAAAATAAAACGAAACAGATAATTTATGTCACAACAGCAAATTTAAATTCTGAATATACACTGCTATGTAAGTCAAGGTTAACTTGAATTTCTGGTCACTATATACAGTTCAGAGGTTTAAAATATCCTTGATGAATTATTTTTATTTATCTATCAGTAAAACTACATTTTATTTTTACTTCAAAGTTTGAGGTATCATATCAAAATAATTGGGCTATTCGTGGCCTGGTGATTATCGTGACATGAGCTGTGAATTCATGTGTTCGTGGTTCTTATCCCCTTACCGCAAAAACGCTCTCTGCACTTTTCAGCCATGGGTGTGCTATCAGAGCAACGATTAAATACCAGTATTCGGTCAGTTAAGAATAGCTCAGGAGTTATTGGTGAGAAGTTGTCTTTAAATTCCAAGTTAGAGTTATGCACAGGCTGTTCTTTGTGTAGCTTTGTGTGAAAATCCCAAACAAACAAGCCCAATGTAAATCAATTTTAATCTTACATTTAATGTTTCGTATCCCCGCTAGATGGCAGGGCATTCCGATGAAACATCTGAAAATTCTACATTATCGGAAAATAACTGTTTGTAACTTTTTTGTATATTTTTCTAACATTCAATCATTGTTACTAGTATTTTAATGTGACTATTAGTGATTTAATTTCGTAAATGTAGTGCCTTTACTATGTAGACGTTTTTCGTGACTATGTGCTGATAAATACATATGTAATAACTAATTGTTGCAAAACAAATTATCGAAATCACGGATAATTGGTCACGGGTTCAAATCACATCGCGAATATGCTCGCCCTTTTAGCCTTTGGGGAGTTATAATGTTACGGTCAATCCCACTATTCATTGATAAAGAATAACACAAGAGTTGGTGGTAGGTGGCGTTGACTGGCTGCCTTCCCTTTTGTCCATCGCTTCAAAGTTAGGGACGACTAGCGCAGATAGCAATCGAGTATCTTGGCGCGAAATTCGATAACCAAACAAACACGATAAACCAGGTCACATGACCAAACAAAGACCAAATGAAACACACTGTAGAAGGAGAAAAAGGTCTAAATTACACTAAATTTATAATATAAATACTTGTTTCATTTTATCGTTTTTCGTACATTAACATTATCTACATTTATGCTATTTCGGGAAATGAAATTTTCGTTTGTGAAATTCTACATTTTAGGCTGCAAGTATTTATTTGTGAACTATTCATTCCAATCAGGTCTAAAATTTAGAATTTTGAACGATCATATATATATATATGTATGTATTTATTTATATAATTTTTAATCTAAGCTTTCTAATACATGTATACCCTAGATCATACCAATAAATTTATTCTTCTTCTCTAAAAAGTATCCTGAAAAGGTTCACGTATAATAAGCAAATTTATCGAAATTAGTTTTCGTTATAAATTCAAACTTTTATACTAATGTGTGCTTGTTAAACGATAAAATGGGGGTGTAAAACACGTTTTTTTTTTCTCTCGCCCCCGGAGGGAAAGCGAGGGTATTGCAATCGGGTGCGCGCGTATGTGTCTGTCTGTGTTTCCGCGCGCATATCTCGAAAACTAATAGACGATGTACATGAAAGGTTTTCACAAGATGGGAAGTCAGTATGGTACAGTACTCCCAAACTTAATCCGGATTCTGGACCACTTTGAAGCATTTTTATAATGAGGAGATAGAGCATTTTCGCGGTTTTGGGTTAATAACTCTGTAAAGTGTAATTAGCTTTGTACCAAATTTCGTGGGCACATTAAACTTGAGACTCCTCATCACACTACAAAAATGATCCGGATCGTTGACCATTCTGAATCTGAGAAGGATTTTCTGAGTTTTCGAAGGTGAAATTTGACGTTATCCAATATAAACACATGTAATTTGGAAAAGGAGCGAAGGGACGAGAATATGCAATCTTTCTGATTGCTCTTGTTAAGATATTAAAATGTACTGAATTTATGTAGATTTATTTTAGTTATGTACTTATTCACATTTTACATTACTGGCAAGTTATACTATATAGGTTAGCCTTGTTATTATCGACTTATTATTAAGGATCCAAGTGAAAATGCATTAAAACAAAAAATCACAACAGTATTAGTACAGGATATTAATCATAATGGCTGTTCATTATATTATTTAAAGCTAATAAACAGTGACTTGGAGAATTATTGAATATATTTACCTTATGATAGATATATTACGAATATTAAACATTTAATTGCTCCTAACGGCGAATCGGACAACCAAACAAAATGGCAGCAGCTATAAGCATTGGAAAACCAGTTGGGTTTGGGCTTCGTCGATGGTGTATTACTGTTAAAGGTTTTCGATTGCCGGCAGTTATATGGAAGGAAACTCAAGTGAACTATTCAAATTATTCTGCGCCTTCATTTCCAGAATTTAAAAGTGCATACAGTCTCGATAAAATATATGCAGATAGCAGTCTGAACTTAAATACAATTCCAGAGGTATGGATGTAATTTAAATTAATGCTAATTAAACTTTATATATTATTTTACTTTTTTTAATAATTTAATTCTAGTACTTAAAGAGTCAGATAAAAATAATCTACTGTACCTTAGAAAAGTCTTAAGTGATGTGGCAGTCGTATCCTTCTCCACAATATTATTAGTAATAGTATATAACTATAAAATAAATTGTATATTTCTTTAAACTAACCTTGGACTTGGATCCTTTAACTTGAGTTTATGTTCTCATAAAAGCTTATTTATGTAATTCCATAATAATATCATGCATAAATAACCGGTTGAACTTAGTGATACAATTTAACATTTAGATATATAGTTTTAATTTAATCACTTTGAGTTGAAGTTTGACATTTTCTTTAGTCTGCTTGAAACTACTCGTGAACGGATAATGATTACTCAGGCCCATATCATTAATTTATGCCCACTTTCTCTTTATGAAAGGAATGTTATGAATGACACAGGTAATAATGTCAGAAATTACAGCAGTTTTTTTTTTTTAACTATTAGGTTTTGTTGTGTTGTGGCTGCATTTCTTGTTTTATTTGCATATTAAAAATGCTAAATTCATTTTAAAATCTATGACAAAAAATGGTTAAGCTGTTTTATTTCACAAAATTTAAGTGTACATGATGCAATAAGTTAGGCCTAGTATACACATTTTACTTACCTGACTTATTATTTAACTTTTTTTTTCATTGTTGAAATTATGCATGCTAGTGGTAATCGGTATTTAATCCCTTACTGATATTATAATTAGTTTATTTATATTCACTTCATTATATGAGTAATCTAAACATGAGACCTAAACTAGGTAGGTAAGGCATACATCATATCATGTTTTAGGGGCAGTAGTACCATCTTCTGATTATGTTCCACCTGGGCAACAGTGCAGGTATGCAAATAAGTATAATAATTTACACATTATTTTTAGTGAAAGTTACTATTTATATAAAAATAAGTTAAGTTTTTATGAGTACTCATTAATTTGATAGATGTGATTGAAAAAAAAAAATTTACATTGATATATGAAGTGCTTGCATATCTGTTTAAATTACTGTATACCAGAGAAATTTAGTATAAACTAATATTGTTAAATCTTCTAGTGAGTGTCACTCTCAGGATTATGTGCCAACCCATTCAGCTTCAAGAGCATTATCTTTCTTTAAATTTATGACTTAAAGAACAATTATGCTTGAATTTAATGTCTAGTTTTTCCTTTCTTGGAAACTCCACTACACCAAATCTACGGCACTGTGACCGTCCGAGATGGATACATTTACAGCAATCACAAAGAACTTGGCATAACTGTGAGAGAGTGAATGGTACCAGACAAAACAGTACGCACAAAAAATTACTCATTCCTTGAATGACAAAAATAGCACAGTATGTTCTGAAATTAAAAGTATGCAGAATTATGAATGTGTTTCACTTGTGTATTGAAGAAAAACTACCAAATGCAGCTTCCTTATTGGGCCGTTTTGTTGTGAACTTAATACAAGCTTAAATCTTTATAAAACTAATGTAAGTATTGTCTGTTTAGATTCATGCAGTCTGTTATATCTGAGGGTAGAGTGAAATAATAAGATGATAAAGGTAATACCTACTGATAATATTGATATGTAAGTCTTGCCAAAAAAACAACATACATGCATCTCAAGATAGTTTTATAGGAAGAAAATCATACAGTCAAATTGAACAAATTAAATATGTATATATACATTTATCTTACAAAAAATAAAGGAAATTACATGTGAAAGCGTTAAAACACTCAACCAACTGAATAGAATGACCAAAGAAAAGAATCATGATGGGGTGGTGGATAAGTCAATCAAGCCGTCGAAGCATAGCTCTGTTGCTAGTACTAAAGCTAATAGAATTGTAAGGTGTATTTGTAGGCATATTTATTAAAAGTCAAAAGAGATGATTATTTTTGTTTACAAATTACTAGTTAGGCATTACTTGAAATACTGTGTACATTTTTTTGCCTCTATCTGAGTAACGATTTTGACTTATAGGAAAAGGTTCAATGGAGGACTACTAGAATAACTCTTAAGGATTAAAGGGTTGTATCGTAGGGTTAAGATCTCTTATTTTCTCTTGACAAAAGAAGGGTAAGAGGTAATCTCATTGAAATAATGAAGTTTTAGAAGATTATCTAGGGGATCAGTCAAATAAAGGCCTCTAGTATTTTCGTGATGTATTTGGAAGACAAGAAGAAAAAATATTAAGATCTTGAAGAATTAGGCTAGGTAGGCTTCAGGCCAGACTGTTTTATTATTCTACCAGGGTAATTAACACATGGAATTAGTTACCATCTGCAGTGGTGGCGAGCACTGGAGGCCAGACTTTATAGGGTTTAAATAATGAAATCAGTGGTTTCATAAAAAGAAAGGGTGGGTTTGGATTTTTACTTTTCTTAAGGGTGTGTGTGAGAGGACTGCTTTGAAGGACAGTTTTAGAGCTGGGTGATTAGCAGAATTTTTCTAATTGATTACATTTAACTTATTTGATTATTCTCGCATATTCCATCTTCCTGTTTTTTTTAAGAAAAATTTTTGAACTATTTTTTCTTTAACCTGATGAGTATTTTCACATACCACAGTTTAGGACTAAATTACTACTTTAATCATATTGTACATGAAAATATACATGCAGTATAATATGATACATGTGTGTGAGAAAGCATAAATGCATAGTAAAATAGATCAATTAATCATCACCAGATCTTGAAAAAACCAGGTCACTAACCCTGACTTGATCCTCAAATACACAATCAATTAATCATCACTAGATCTTGAAAAAACCAGGTCACTAACCCTGACTTGATCCTAAAATACACAATCAATTAATCATCACTAGATCTTGAAACCAGATCACTAACCCTGACTTGATCCTCAAATACACAATCAATTAATCATCACCAGATCTTGAAAAAAACAGGTTACTAATCCTGACCTGATCCTCAAATACACAATCAATTAATCATCACCAGATCTTGAAAAAAACAGGTTACTAATCATGTTTTGATCCTCAAATACAAAATCAATTAATCATCACTAGATCTTGAAAAAACAGGTCACTAATCCTGACTTGATCCTTAAATACACAGTCAGTAATCCTAGCAAAATAGGAATATCTCTCCACAAGTCATGCTGCAACTACAGTAGTAAAGTACTTAAGAGAAAATAAATTTTACATGTTGATCAGTGAAAGTTTTTGCTTGAAATTAATGTTCAAACTATAGTTTTGTATAGTTTTTATTTATTTTTAGCCACCAAAAAATTCTGAAGAGAAGTTTTCTGGATATATTCCGATAGGTGAGTCCATATCTAAGATGTAATCTTTTCTTATATATATATATATTTTCTCATAGACCATAAAAATAATTAGCATTGAACTTTTCATCTCAACCATATCACCAGTCAAATTCCTGAACATCTTATCACAAACCATGCTATCTGAGAAACTACGCAAATTATTGTTTAAAAAAAAATATAAAGTAGTTTTATTTAAGAACAAACTTGCATTTTAATCCTTAAGTTTACACTTGCATTACTTCT